CATGGCTACAGTGATGGTAACATTGAGCACCTGCACCTCAAAATCCAGCACTGCACCTCTGAAAATATTGCCCTGGTTCGTGATGTCAGATGTCTGGTGCATGAATTACGTACCTCACCACTAGGTTAAGGGCTCCGTAGAAAAGCACCCATAGCTATATATACAATGAAATTAAAGCACACTGAAATCTAAGTTTTTACATGGAAGGGGAAACATCATCCATTATCATATACTTGAGCAAATAAATAGGTTTTTGCTGCTTTTATAACATTCCCAAGGCAGCTGAATGAGCTTCCTCAGGACTGTCCAACCCTAGACTACCCTAGATCAGATTTTCTTAAAGCTTGACACCCAGAGCAGAGTCACTTCTGAAGCTGGTTTGGATGGGCAAAGCTGAATGTCAGGAATTCTCTAAAAACAAAAAACCAAATGTGCTCCTGGAAAACTGAAATCATACACCAAGGAAAGCTGGATTTTGTATCTACATAAATTATGCAAAACATTGGCAGCAAATTGCATGAATGTACCCTACATTTTTGCTGCCTTGCATAATTCTGGGCTTGATAGTTATGGGAGTCGCAGGGACACTGACCCCTGCCTCCCCCACTGGCAATCTTCTTTAGCTATGTGTCTGCTTTCGGACATTTCTGATTTCTTGTTCAACATTTCTGTGGTTTCTCATACCCCAGACACAACCATATGCTTGGAATCATAAGAGCCAGAAACTTAGACTTTCTTTAAAAGAAAATGAAAGATGAGAGAAATGCTCTTTAGACAGTGTTCCATGCTCCTAGGACTATGTGTCCATCTTTCTATCAACTCTGCAACCCAAACTATATCAGTTAGCACTGGATCCTGCTGTTTGTTCATGGGATAAGATCACCAAATGCATCATCAAAACCAAACATAAAGGACCAAAGGGACCACTGATTTACATAACATGTATATGCATAGATGAAAATGTAAACATTAATTACTGTAATTTAAACAGGAATACAATAGCCCTCATGGTAATGGGGAGGCCTGTGACCAGGGCCCCTAATGCTTTCCTGTTCAGTCTGCAATCCAGGTGCAAGTCAAAGGCCCCCCTTCAATCTTTGTTCTTATGGTCCTTTATTTTAAAAGCAACCTGGACTGGTGAGCCCTTCAAATAGGTGCCTGTCCTTGGTAAAGTAGAACATGCAGCTATTCTGTTCAGGGAATTAAGTGTCTGATTATTATGGTGCTTAATTTATCCCTCTCTCCAGTTGAATACCATACCTGTTGGATCTTCTTATTTCACCACAGCCCAATAAGCCCCAGGAGTTGTAGTTCGTTAGACCACACCACAAAGAAAGTGGCACGTTTGAGGTGCCTTGCAACATTCCTCACATGGTTTCTAACGATATGAAGGAAAGAGTAAGCTTGTTCCTGCTGCGCCTCCCCTTTCACACACGCACTCGTGCACACACCCGACATGTGCAAGGCCTCACCCGCAAAACAGAACCCCAACTGCATCAGGGTTTCCACCCTGGAGAGAGCTTGCGCACACATGTGAACATGCTTCCCCCGTCGTTATTTGTTTTTCGGCGCCAGGCGAAGATGACCTTTTTATTTAAGCGTCATTTTAATTGTTAACAGTATTTGCTTATTTTATCTGGCCAGGGCGACTTATTTTATATTGTTATTTATTTTATATTGTTGTTTTTATATTGTTATTTTTGTATTTTACGTCATGTTGTGAGCCGCCCCGAGGCTTCGGCGAATGGGGCGGCATAGAAATGTTTTAATAAATAAATAAATAAATAAATAAATAAATAAATAAATAGGTGGATGGTGGGCAGGGTTGTGACTGCAGGTCTGGATCCACTAAGCACACACCATGTGCTACGGGTCCAAATGATTGTTCAAGGTATGAGGGGAATTCCCAAATAGTCCCGTAGAGCCCCAGAGGAAGATCTGACCGGGCATCAGTTCATTGCTCAGAACATCACTTGTTCTGCCCTAACACTGCTTCTGGCTGGTGCTGGCAATGGATCTGGCTATTCCGTAGAGCTAAAGAAGAAACATACGAATGGCGTCAAGCTTAATCCAGCTGCAGTTTTTCTCTTAGAGAAATGGGCATGCAGCTTACTCTGGATTCTGCTAGATCTCCAGGGTGCCCATCCCTTCACACGTTTCTGACCTGGGAACCACAAGGAAAGGGAAACAACACAACCAATACTCCTGCTTCTCACTGCCTTACTTCACTATGAACTGCCCATCATTTTTGTTAACATTGATTGTGTTTGTCACCTGGAAATGATTTATTCTTTAAAATTAAGATATATATCATCCTGTGAATTGGAAGATGTTTCTAATTGTTGGCTGATTGGGGCTGTCTCTATGGAGTTAACAACTGTGCCATATGTACATATCAATTACATTGTTCAACTTCAAATGTGTTTTCAATAATTATGCTACAACCCATTATATGCATGACTATCCTACAAAATTTTAATTTAATGCATATTTGGTCATCTTAAAGCAGTATCCCTATGAAGAGAAACACTTTTTTGATTTTGAGCTATCATTTTAAAGGCTCAGCCTTTCAGTTATGTAGTGAAGAGATATTCCACTGATGTTTGACCTCTTTGTAAGTTCTGTGAAGCCTGTTGATGGTAACAGTTTGTTTATTTACTTAGTCTAGTTAATTTTAGTTGATTTTCTGGGCCAGTTCCTCACACAGATAGGTTAGAGCTATGTTTATTACCCTATATCTTGGAGGTCTTTCTTGGTTTTACAACTAGGTCAGAAATAGCATTGTAGCAGGTAATTTGCATTGATAATAGTACGTTGTCTAATTTGCATTTAGGGCTGGATTCAGAATCTGCCTTCTATTGAAGAATGCAGATTGTGTTGAAGGACACAGAAGGACTTGGGGGCATGAGGTTGGTTTGATCCTGCACTGCCCCCCCCCCCCCGCTGAGTATGTGGGTGCAGCACTGGCATAGGCTGGAAGGCCAGTGCGGTGCAGTCGCTGGGGCATGTTAGAGGAGTGGTTGAAGGCAAAGACAAGACAGGCTGGATTTTCAGCCATGAGGCATGAAAAATCAAGTTCAGGAAGGAAGTGCTTAACCAGAGGACATACTGGCTGGTGCAGTGACTGCCAGTACATCACAATTTGCACCTCTGTGGATCTAGGTTGACATGAGCTAATACCAGAGGCATTAATATATTTTTTCATGCTTTTATCAGCAGTACAGTGCTGCTGGGCTTTGAGCCACACGGATGGCCCTCTGAATGTTCACTGGAATTTAAAATCACAAAATGATAAAAGGAAACTGCTGTTACGTTTAGGATTTTCCAGCCCCTCCTCCTCCTCCTCCTCCTCTTTATTTTACTAAGCCCAAGTTTTGGATCGGCAGTAATTTAACAGTGTCCTTTTGACATTCATGGGATTTATGGACATACAAGAAGGCAGACTACATCCTTCTGATGGATTTGAGTCTGAAAGATCCCAGAGGTATATATTGTACTTATGAAATTCGCTTCTGCTTTTCACTGCTAATTCTAGAGCCCTTGTTGGCATACATAATTGATTAATCTGTATTTTGAAAGGTTTAACACATTTTCTCATTTCTAATCCAAAGGCACAAAATTTTTCATTTTCATAATAATTTATGGAGCCGATGACTTCTGGTTTGTGTGTATATGACTGTGTGTCTAAGTACTCCTATTATCGTATACTGGGTTACATGTGATGCAGTAGCAGTTTTGAATGAAGGTAAAAGAGGACAGGACAGTTAATGTAATCAGAGAAGCAAGAAGAATTAGGGAAGCTCACACTGAAGTGGACTGGCAAGGGAAATAGCAAAACATCAATGCCAGTATTTTGAAATCAGAACAGAAGCTTTTTAACTGTAGTGCCAATATGATATTATACCCCCTGGTTATGGGAAGGTATGAGGGTCCACCATTCTAACATTGATTTCCACCACATCCTTGTGCACTTTCCATTGTTATTTGAATTATGGCGAGTAATATTGTATCATCATCACTCAATGCCTCCATCAAGAATGTTCATATCCCCTCCTTCTAGTAGTCAATACCTCTCTAAAATCTAGGGCTTTTGTTTTTAGACAATACTTTCCTGTACTGTCTAACCTGTAGACTAAATGAAGAGATGGGCAACTTTTGACCTTCCAGATGCTATGGGACTGCATCAGGCCTAGCAAATGTAGCCAATGATAAGGGGTCATGGGAGTTGCATCCCCACAATATTTAGATGGCCATGAGTTGCCCATTAATTTCCTTGTTTAAAAAATTACAGCACTGTGCCTTTTACATAATGCATCCCATTTCTGATAGTCATTCCCATTTAGAATTGCATTCAGGTGAAATCTAAAGTGACTGTGGAAGACTGAGTTTGTGCAGAACCTATCTGGAAAATTAACACCCCCCCTTTAAGAATAATCAAATAAAGGTTAGATTTTTTTCTGGAGATCTAGATCTGTACAACCTTGAGGCAAATTGGTAGATGCTCCTGGGGTAAAACCTGTGCATAAATGTCAAGGGATGTTGATATATATATTTAAAGATGCAAAGTTTCTTATGGGATGAGTTATATATGTGTGTGAACTTATTGCCTACCGGAGGCTTCTGGGTTAAAGAGATCCCATTCTTGCCTAGTAGGAACTACTTATAGACCCAATAGACCAGTCTTTTGTAAGGTTTGCCTAATTTTTTAAAAAGACATTCACACTAGAGCTGTTCCATTTTTATACCATGACATTTGATAGACTTTGCCAGAAGAAGAAGAAGACAATAAAATACCTCAGCATCCTTATTTTTCCCTCTTCTGGGTTTTAACTCAATGATAGAGTAATTGCTATCCTGCCAAGCCATTTTGAAATTGTATTCCAGAAAGGGAAATTTAAGAAAGGGAAGCTATAGCAGGGGAAGAAAGGTTGCTTTGCCCTCTTCCTTGCCATCAGCTCTCTCCTCTGAATGCTCTCTGCACTTGTATTTCTTCCTCACAGAATCCCACAAAAGGACGCTTTCTCTAGCGGAAGGGCACGTCGCCGTCAGAGGTTCTAGAGGAGAGAACCAGAAGGCAGAGGCACTTTCTTCATCCTCGCTCTCCCTGTTCTCTCCAGAAGCAGCCTTTCATTTTAAATGTTGTGTTTGGTCTCCATTTGCTACTGCCAGCCAGAGAAGACAGCACTGAGCTAGACAGACCAGAGGTAGGTGACCTGGAACCCTTCAGATGGTCCAACCCTTCAGATGGACCTGGACTGCCTTTCAGAGCCAGTCAGCTTTTCCTATGGTTAAGGATTCTGTAAGTTTTACTCTGAAACACCTGAATGATTGCTCCTGAGGTAGTCTATGAGTCTGAGTTGTTTAAAAGCTGTTTCATATACTGACTATCCCTGTGCAGAAACAATAGTCTTACATGTATTTTTGTTGCGTTTGCAAGCCCTTTGAAATTTGATAGTTATATTTAAAGAAGTAATATGGAGCTTTCAAGTGAATGGAATCTTTAATTGTACAATAGCTTGATGTCTTCCACTTTATTCTAAGAATGACCTAGTTAAAATCTTCCCAAATGCTGGCAACTACAACATTTAATTCCTCCTCAATTGATGAGGAGTTTAATTTGTAGGGAGACCAGTGAGTTTTGTACTTCCTCAGTGCATGACATGTTTTACCTGGCCAGATATTTGGCCTGGATTCCTCTTATTGATGTTGTGAGCTGAGTACTCCCTCCCAACAGTAACTGACTCACCAGCATTTCTTGCAAAATGTCTTTATTTATTTATTTAGAAAATTTCTATGCCGCCCCATTCGCCGAAGCCTCGGGGCAGCTCACAAATATATCAATTAAAATATTATACAATAAAAATATAAAACAAGTTAACAATATAAAATAAGTCGCCCTGGCCGAAGAATAAAATAAATAAATAGTATTAACCATTAAAATGACATTTGAATAAAAAGGTCTTCGCCTGGCACCGAAAAACAAACAACAACAGCGCCAGGCGGACCTCTCTGGGGAGCGCATTCCATAGATTGGGCGCCACTGCATAGAAAGCCCTCCTCCAAGTACCTACCCTCCTAATTTCCTTCACGGAGGGTTCCTGGAGAAGGGCCTCTCCTGCAGATCTCAGGGGGCGGGCAGGCCTATACGGACGTAAGCGCTCCTTCAGGTAACCAGGTCTTTATTTTACTTGTAAGTCTCTGAGCATACACAAAGCACAATATTGAACCCTCTCTGCCCCCCGTCATCCAAAGCTTTGTCATGAATCCTTCTGTGTCTGTCTCGGGTGGGAGGAGCACTGTGGAACCAGGCATGCCTGCGATCCTTCCTCTGAGATCCCAGTTGGGCCACCCTGCAACTGTGATGACAAACTATTGGGTCTATCTCCTCAGGAGTCTGGAGTTCCCCATCCAATAAACTCCTCATCTCTAAATCCCCCCGCTTCAGGATGTTGTTGCTCTTCTTAGTTCCCAGGGGTGGGTTTACTAGGCCCCTTGACTGCCCTTGAACTATTCTTTTTCCTAGCAGGCACAGGTGGGTACCCAGGGCCTTAGACTGCAGCTGGGGCTGAGTTCATTTTAACAGCCATCTCATTATCTGAGTCTGAGCTGTCAGTCTTGATGGGATCAGAACAACTCCCAAGCACACATCTCATTCTCAGAATCTGAGCTGTCAGTCCAGCCAAAATGGTCAGCTTCTCATGTGTGCCTGGGTATCTTGCCAGAATGTGCATACACAACAATCAGGAATCAAGCCACTTGTTAAAGAAGTCTGCCCAAGTCTTCCATTGGAATCCCTGCGATGCGATAGACAGACCTGATTTGCACATCATGATAAGCTGTGGTTCCTTTGGAGGTGACAATGTATGAGAAGTGTCCTTGTGCAAAGCTTTTTCAGTGCAAGTGTGAGTAGCTTAACAAACCATAGGGCTTCATACTTTCTTTGGTGTGATTTGCAAACCAAGATACTTTGTTGTTACATTATTCTTCTGTCTTGTGGGATGGACAGACCAGAGTTCCTGGTTCACATAGCATGTTAAACAGATTACAGATGGAAGGAAGCAGAACAATCAGTCAGAATTTATAACTATGCTTCTTGTCAACCCTCTCATTGAAAACTGAAGATGCTGGAGAAAGGAAATGGTAATGTCACCAACTCTATGAAAGAATAAAGACCACTGCTGGTTTTGAAACCAGATATGCATGTGGAGATTTCTGCTATAGAAGGCCAGGTTACAGCTTCCATTTTTGCAGGAGCAAAGGTTAATCATCCAGATAGCAGAGTTAGGTAAATATAGTCTGCATGAGAGACAACAGCAATTAAATATTCAAAATGGTACAAACTGTTGCATTTGCCTATGAGAAGTACTGTAATCCAGTAAATAGCTAGGTGTCCACAAGTATATGGGAGATTTCCTAATTTCCTTTCCTAATCTGCAAACAACTAGATGTTTAGGAGGGTTACTGTAGCAATGGAGTGGAATGATGGGAGGTGTAGTCTCAATTATCTGAAGGGCACTAAGTCAGGGAAGGCTGGTTTACAATCTTAGTGACTACACTAGCAGCACTTAGCTGTTCTAATAGAACAATGGATCTGCCACTGATATCTTTAAAAATGCATTTTAATAGCAAAAACTGTATAATTCCATTAAAAGCCTTTATTTTTATTTTCCTTTTTGTATACTAACAAAACAACATTCTTTTTGAAGTGGGAAGAAGAAATCAATTATCCTGTATCTCAATACCACTGAAAAGAATATTATAGTAATTTCCTTTAGTTTGCTGAAAGAAAACAAAGACTAATTGTTTTTTGAAATGAAAATAGAAGTAGCATAGTTTACCAAGCTGGAGAATCACAGATTGGTTTTGATGTGTATTGCACAGCTGGAAGTAAAGCACACACAGTCAGACACACACAGACCCACAGACACACACACACACAGAAAACATAGAAGTTATTGAGTGATTAACACAGACTGTGGAGTAGCAGAAAAGTTAGTTTGTGTTTTCTTTGTCCAAGAAAAACATGATTTGGGAATAAACAGTTGCATTGAAATCAGTTATTTTAATGCATTAAGTAGAACTTAGTGAAGAGCAAAAGCATAGAGATCATTAAGAATGTGATTTCAAACGAAAATGTGATTAATTAGGGGCTACGCCCAACAGCGGGAATCCAAGAAAGAGACTGAAACAAGAAACAAATATATCCTTGTTTAATTAATTTCTTTGGACAGCATCCAAAGATACAGGATGAAAATAAATAACAAACAAAGCGTTGCTAAGGGGGGAGGGAGATCGAAAAGGGTTTTTCTTCATTTAGAGTTACAGAACTGAGGTTAAAAACAATATGCTTTTTCCTGTCCTGAAAAGCTATAACTAGATCCCAGGAGGTTAGGCAAACAAATGTTGCATTCTTTAGTGTCCAAACAAGCCTCTTTGAAGCCTTCTTGGCATTTGGGTGCTGCAACCTCCACTTCTTTTCAAAGCCTGGTCAAAAGGCAGATGGTGCAGGAGAGCACTGCGTTTGGCACCATTTGCCATTCTCGTTATTCTTGCCCCACTGAGGGCTGGCTGGGGGAACGCTTGTGTGCCTCAGCCCAGCAAAGGCTTTGCAGGCACATGATCCCAGGAACAAGGCTTGTAGAAAAGCCGTGAAAAGACTGGGAAAATTTACTGCCCTCCGAAATCAAAACAGAAGCATTCATCATCCACTCCCAGGCCATGAGAGAGGTTGTCTGGCAGAGAAGCACCAAGAATTGCTCTTCTTATGATGAGTCACAGGTAGAAGCTTTTTATCCTGGCTGATGTTCATATCCTCCCAGTAAAACAACATCCTTGTTGAAGAGTATTTATTTAGAATATAAATATGTTGAATGAAATATTAAAATGTTCTTCTCTCCCTGTGTCCTCCCTCCTCCAGGTCTTCCCTCCTTCAGATTTCTGGATCTAGTCATCTAGACTATGTTACTGTCCAGGATCCTTAGCTTTCAAAGCTCAAAATACCTCCCAGTTATCCTTGCTACAACTCATAAAAGCAGATCACCACAGTCATCCCTGGATTATCAGTCCAATGGAGATGGCAGCTGAAAGGAAGGGACCTGCATTCAGCCAACTTAGTAGTTTGACCTAGACAACATTAGGTAGCAGAAATCAAATGAACAAAATAGTCATAATTTAGGTCCTATTGATTCAGTAAGAACTAAATGCAACCAACTTAGTCTGAACACAGCCCACTGAGTCTGTGGGAGAAAAGAGTTTTGGACTTTTAGCTTGTGGCTTTGTGACTTTACCACTATACTACTTAATCCTCTTCTTCTTCTTCTTCTTCTTCTTCTTCTTCTTCTTCTTCTTCTTATTATTATTATTATTATTATTATTATTATTATTATTATTATTACATTGCATTTCTATACTGCCCCTAGCTGAAGTTCTCTGGGGGGTGCACAATATTTAAGTCACCCATCCCAATTGTCAACTATGCCCAACCCTACTTAGCTTCCAAGATTAGGCACGTCAGGCTATATGGAAGCTTCTGTACCAAAGGATTGCACCAAACCTGGTTTAAAATGTGGTTAAAATGTGGAAGTCACTACTACAGGATGGCTATAGTTTGAGTGACTGTAAAGCGGATTAGAAAATGTATGGAACAGAAGGCTATCAGTGGCTGCTAGTCATAATGGCATTTGGGGAAATGGTATTGCACTCCTACTTACAGGTTTCCCACAGGCAGATGGCTAGCCGTTGCGTAAATAGAATGCTGGGCTGGATGGACCCTTGGTCTGATCCAGCACAGCTCTCCCAATGTTTTTATGTGCTACTTTACCCAGCATGCACTGTAACCCCAACATCACTCATCTTCACAATAGGTTTGTGAATAGATTTGGTAGGAAAATGGCCAGCCCTGGGCTTGTCCCTTTAAACAAGAGCTTGATTTGCTAAAGTCTGCAGATGAAACTTTTCGCAGCATTGCGATAAACATTGCCAGCCGCTCTTATCTTTGCATCTGTCTGCTGTTAAAGTTCCAGATGCAAGGGCGGTGGAAATGTTGGCAATCCAACCTGGGAAATTGTTACTTTACAACCTGTGGAAGGGACATGCAGCACGTGCTGAACTTAGTGTGTGACAGTAGTCTCTCAGCTGACTATTTGTCAGCTAGGAAGGGAACAAGGGGAAGTTGTTAGGACAACTTTGACTACACGTGAGGCCC